CAGACTACTTGGTTTAAATCCCAGCCCTGCCATGTACTACATGTGCGACCTGGAATAAGCCACTTAGTGGCTCTCTGCATTATTTTGGTCATTTGTAAAATGAAGATAGTAACTGTACCTACCTGACAGAGTTGCTATAAGGATTAAATAAGTTTTTATATATGCAAAGCACTTTGAACAGTGACAGCACATAAGTTCTATATAATGTTAAGTCATTATTACTATTGCTACATATAATTTTAGAAACAAGGACAGTGTTATATTTCTATTTTTAGAGGAAAAACCATCCATAAATAGTTTTGAGCAACTTACTTATTTCCCTGTAAATTGATGACAAGCAGGAGCTAAGAATACCTTATAATGCCTCTAAGATTACTTATAGAAAAGATTTATTTGTTCCAACTTTTGAGATAGAAACCCCTCAAGTTCAGCCTGATAACCACCTCATAGCAAAAGGTAGAATCTAGGACACAAAGTTTCCATACAATAAATAAAAGCCAGAAAAAAATTTTAACATTTTAAAGAGAAAACATGTACACAACAACTTAGTAAATAGTAATAGAAAATAATAGAATAAAATATCTATCTTTAAAATAAAAGTCTTAGTATACAAGGAAAAAAAAATCCCACCTTAAAAAATCTCTCTAACAAAGTTGAACTAAAAACTACTGCTAAAAACAGGAGGCTGGCTCCCGATCATACATAACTCCTAGTATCTAAGCCCTTGTGAAAACCCTGACTACACTGAGTAACACTGACTTGTGTAATAAATAGGATACTGAATAAATGTAACTTCTGAGGCTAGGTCATAAAAAGCACTGTATTTTTTATCTTGGATCACTTGCTCTGGAGGAAGCCACCTGCTACGTCGTGAAGACATTCAAAGCAGCTCAGTTGAAGAGGCCTCTTGCTAATAACAGCTGGGGAGAAACTGAGACTTCCTGCCAACAGCCATATGAGTGAGCCATCTCAGAAGTGCGTCTTCCAGCCTCAGTAAACCCTTCAGATGAGTGCAGAGCCAGCTGACATCTTAATGCAGCTTCATAAGAGACCCCAAGTCAGCACCACCCAACTTAGCTGCTCCCATATTCCTGACTTATGGGCTGTGAAATAATAAATGTTTAATCTTTTAAGCCACTAAGTTCTGAGGTAGTTTGTTACATAGCAAAAGATGATTAATACAGTAAGAGAGAAATTCCATGTGTCAATCCAATCTGAAACATGACATACTTGAAAAGAGCTGCTAGGTCATACGGTAGAAAACATCTTTGCAAAAAAAAGTAAATGACACATGAGTTCATAAAGGGGACTTCCACAGGTCTTATGTTGAACAAGCACCTACAGTTTTGTGCACAATTTTTATTATAAGGCTTGCAACCTAAATGTGCTCTTAATAACTTCCGTAAGAGACATAAAAAAGTATCTCAAACACAAAACAAAATTTCATTGTTATACAAATTTGAGGGGGTACTTTGACTTTAAATGAAGTAAGTTTCTCTGGACCCACTTGTAAACGATTTCTTTCTTATCTCTATGAATCTACTTTTAGAATATTTATTAATGGAGAATGTCACGAAATGAGACATGGAACACCATGTAGCAGTTCATTACTTTGCCTCCCTCCAAGAGATGTAAATAAGTTATCTCTATTAGAAGGACTGACTTAGGTAAATTTATATTTAGGTCTAAGTTTAACATATATGATGAGTTTCTCTCTAGATATAGAAAGCAAACAGCAGTACAAGGGCAGAACTACGTAACTTTGTCATTTTCAAAGTTTTTATTTTTAATAAAAAATGAGTATGACCAATGTACACAGCAAGTCTTTTATAGACACTAGGAAATACTATACCAAGGAAACATGGTACACCTGTGTGGGCAACGAAAGATGTTAGAAAATTTAGCATACACTACTGCGTCCGCCCTTAGGAAATACATTCTCCAGCAAAGTTCATCACCACAAACATGGTCACTCAGTAGGTTCACTGCCCCTTTGTAAGGGTGCACATGACCCTTAAGACCATGGCCCTCTCCCAAAGGAACTACAGTATAGATACAAAGTTTATAAAAACAACAGAACCAGTAAAGATATGATGACCTGCAAAAGAAAGGCTTATCAAAAACCCCAAAGTCCACACAATGCAGTACCATATTCTATTACATATGTATGTATGTATGTGTATGTGTGTGTGTATGTGTGTGTACACGCATATGTTTATCTCCAAACTCTGAATTCTTCAATCCTAAGAAAAATAAGCATTATGGCAAATTTTACATTTTATAGTAAATAGAGAAGAAAATAAATGATAACCCCACTGACATCCTGGGTCCTTAGATTGCCTTAAAATGTAAATGTAACTAGGAACTGAAGATGTGATAGGGTTAAGAACTAGCCAAACCAGAGCCTAAGATACAGTTAAAAAAGAAAAGGCTTCCAAGTCATACCACTTTTCAAAGAATTAAATCATCTGAGATCTTTAGATAAAAAGAATTTCATCAACTGATTCTATGCAGGTCCATTTACTGCCTCTCCATATGATCCAACACATTATATAGAATCTCAAGGAAAAAGATGGTGAGCAGAAATGACATGTTTTATTACTCTAGGATTTTTAAGTGTACATATTGAAGGCTATTGATAATTAGCTACATAAAAACTTCACATATAATAAATAAAAACCATAAGGCCAAGAAAAACCACAAATAAGAAATTTTTTAAAAAAGAGTTTAAGAAGGAAAGTAAATATCTAAAAATTTTAAAGCTTACATAAGCTATATAAAACCAAATGGAATGGCTAAAACAATATAATATTCATGAAAAATGGCAGTTGACAAATAAAAATATAAAATGAATTATGACATATATTGAGAAAGCAAAAAGTAAAATTTTTACAATTAAAAATAAATTACTGAACAAGGCCAGGTGCGGTGGCTCCCAGATGTAATCCCAGCACTTTAGGAGACTGAGGTGGGCTGATTGCTTGAGCCCAGGAGTTCGAGACCAACCTGGGCAACATGGTAAAGCCCATCTCTACAAAAAATACAACAGAAATTGGCTGGGCACGGTGGTGTGCATCTGCAGTCCCAGCTACTGAGGAGGCTGAGGTGGGAGAATCACCTGAGCCCAGGAAGTTGAGGCTGCAATGAGCTGAGACGGTGTTATTGCACTCCAGCCTGCGCAGACAGAGTGATACACTGTCTCAGGAAAAAAAAAAAAAAAATTACTGAACAAAACGAAGCCACTACTAACTAAGGCAATTTCAACACTACCATTTTGCCTCCAGTAACATTAGTGGGAAAGCAATTGCAAGCAATATTAGTTGCCACTAATTGTAAATAGTTATCATAAGATGTTCCACAGGGATTTAGGATATTTCTCTCAGTACTTTGGAGATGTTATGGGTAGAAAAAAATGAGAAGCTAAGTGGGCTGGTTCTGGAAGGCCTCCTGTCCTCAGTCAGAGTCATGCCTCTTTTATTTGTTTTATATTTCAGCATGCTCTTTAAGATTGGTCTAAAACAGGAGTTTCCCAGCTCCTCTCCCTTATTTGTTTTATAGTTTAGCATGCTCCTTAAAATTGGACTAAAACAGGAGTTTCCTAGCTCCTCCCCGACCCCAAATGCTTGAATAATCCCACTTTACAATATTATAAACACTAACAACTATTTGGATTAAATGAAACCATAGAATTCTTTGACAAATCAAATAGAAGAAACACCATACTGGGTATTATTACTTTCTTACTACCATAATTTCTTCTTCATTATTTATCTTCACTTCTAAATAGAATTTATTTACTGTATGAGACTATAAACTCATACACTGTAAGTGTGTATGAGAATATAAACTACTAGAGGGCAGGGCTACATGCACCTATTTTGTAGCAAGCACCCTCAGCACGGTCCAATGACAATTTTGGTGTTGAGTGTCTGATGTAACTGTTCTCCCTTGCATGGATCACAGGAGAGGAATAGTAACAAGCATATTTAGTACATCTACTCTTTCACAGAGTTCTCACTGCATGTACCAAGTAATAAAAGCTTTTTTGCTCCCACTGTGGCACATTTCAAAGTATATCAGCACATGTGCCTATGTGTTTGTTCAAGCATTAATGCCTGTGAAAGAAATGCTTCTCATCTTTGGGATATGAATTCTTTACAATTTTCCCAATAAGAATAAGAATATGGTATTTGTCTTTTGAAAAACATGAAGAACCCTACTGAGGTCCTACAAATAAAAATAATGTAAGAGGATAAAAGTTTCTCTTTACTTTTGAAAGGGTAAGTTACAAAATGCAACTATGTAAAAATAAAAAAAAAGGAGACCGGGTGCAGTGGCTCACATGCCTGTAATCCCAGCACTTTGGGAGGCCGAGGTGGTCGGATCATGAGGCCAGGAGATCAAGACTGTCTTGGCCAACATGGTGAAACCCCGTCTCTACTAAAATACAAAAAATAAGTTGGGCGTGGTGGCGCATGCCTGTAATCCCAGCTACTTTGGAGGCTGAGGCAGGGGAATCGCTTGAACCTGGGAGGCAGAGGTTGTGGCAAGCTGAGATTGTGCCACTGAACTCCAGCCTGGTAACACAGCAAGACTCCATCTCAAAAAAGCAAAACAAAACAAAACAAAACAAAAAGACAATAATTGAGGAAATCTGCAAATGCGATTTTGCTTTCATTGTTACTAAAATTTTGTAAAAGTTACATGATTTTATTTTAGATCACCTGAAATAAGAGTCTTCATGGCAGTGAAGTTTTACAAGCTGTTACACGTTGTGTTCATTTTAAAAGTGCAATGCATTGAAGATATAAAGACTTTTTCATTCAATAACCAACATCTATATCTGATTATATAAATGTAATAGGAATACATTTTTTGTAAACTAAAAATAGCTGTGAAAACTAAAAAAAAAAAAAAAAAAAAAAAAAAAAAAAAAAAAAAAAAAAGATAGATATTTTCAGAGGTGAAATTTAGTAGTAGAAAATTTGGGGAAATGATACCTCATCAGTGTTGTAGATAATCTGGAGTCCTGAGGAAATCATTTCCACAAGGTAAAGGAGATAGAGTGACACTGCATTTATCTGCAACAAACAGAAACATTAAAAGGTTAAAGGAAACAACCAAAACAAGTTCTAAAATTAATTAATTAAGGCTAAAATTACAAGTCATTTGCTCTAATAGTGTCATAAAACTATTTCCTTTCCTACTGTGAAAGAAAGGTATTGTGAATTTAGTTCATAATAAAATCCCAGCTTTGTATGCAAAATTCTAAATTCTCAAATTCATTGTAATGGAAAACACTGATTATGGAAACAGCTTCAAATAAAACTGTTAACAATTGTTTCTACATCATTTGTTTTCTTTACATGGCAAAAAGAACTTTGAAAAAATAGGAATATATCATTTGCTTTTCAAGATTTATTTTCAAGCTTTGGGTCTAAAGTACTTCTACTTTGCCCCACAGGCAGTATGAAATGCCAATCCACCTCCAATATATGGAAATGAGAAAAGTTATTTGGTAAGCAAGACATGATGATGAGGTCAGTACCCCATAAACAATAGGTGGTGCATCTTGAAAACAGTCTTATATTCAGTGAATACAGAATTTTTGTAAACCACTGCAGGAACATATTAATGTTAATGGTATAACATAATTTAAAACATGTTTATGAATGAATTAGTTTTATGAACAAAGGAGGTATTATTTTAGTGTATTAAAAATAGATATTTTATGATCTAAACAAAAAAATACTAATATCTACTTTAACAAAAAAGGATACTCACAGAATCCTGAATGGGATGTGTGAGTTGTCTCAGGTAAAGAAGCAGGAAATATAAGTCCCACAACAGGCACAACCCTTGGTTGGTTCATTTTAGCTGTCAACTTGACTGGATAAAGGGATACCTAGACAGCTGGCAAAGCATTGTTTCTGGGTGCATCTATGAGGATGCTTCTGGAGGAAGCAGGCATGTGAGTTGGCCGGCTGAGTGGGGATGATTTGCCCTCAAGGTAGGCAGGCACCACCGAAATGACTGGGGGCCACCCAGATGGAATAAAAAGGCAGAGGAAAGGTGAATTCTTGCTCTCATATGCCCTTCTTCTCCTTCCTTTGAACATCAGAACTCCACGTTAACCAGGTTCCATCAGTGGCCCCCTGGGCTTTCGGGCCTTCATCCTCCAACGGAGAGTTACACCACTGGCTTGTATGGTTCTGAGGCTTTCAGATGTGGACTAAGCCACATTAGCGGCATCCTTGCTTTTGCAGCTTGCAGACAGCCTCCCGTGGGACTTCTCAGCCTCCATAATTGTGTGGGTCAATTCCTCTAACCTCTCCTTCCCTCCCTCCCTCTCTCTCTCTGTCCCTCTCCTCTCTTCATCATTATTAGTTCTGTCCCCCTGAAGAATCCTGACCAATACACCTTGAAAACATAATGCTAAATTTAAAAAGCCAGTCACAAAAAGATCATTTATTGTATATGAAATGCCAAAAGTAGGCAAATCCACAGGGACAGAAAGACTGGCTGCTGCCTAGAGCTGGGGGGCTTTGGAGAATATAGGGAATACAAAGTTTATTTTTGCAGGTAATGGGTATAACGTTTCTTCCTGGGGTGATGACAGTGTTCTAAAATTTAAAGTGATAATGGTTGAGAAACTCTGAATATACTAAAAACCATCAAATTATATACTTTAAATAGGTGAATTACATGTTATGTGAATTATATTTCAATAAAACTGTTATTAAATAAGTAAATAAGAAAAAAAGGCAGTGAAAAACTTTCACTCAGCCAGGAAACTGTAAGCCTGAGTTAAAAACAGAGAGAAAGCAAGGTGTAATTCTATTCCCATAGAATTCTAACATAGATTATTTCCCTCTGACAGCTCGAGTGGCTATGTCTTCCATGACTCTCCTCCGGCCCAACTGAGTAATAGATGGAAAATTGGGGCAGAAAATTATTGGTGCCCTGGAGGCCTTGGGCAGAGCAGCCCAGGGCCTGGCATTGCTGGTGACCCTCTCAGGAACCAGGCTGATCCCGGGTGTCTCCTGACTTTCCGGCACTCAAGGGTCCATTGGATGTCAGGGACTTATGAAGGTCCAAGTGGGCCACACAAGAAGATGCAGTATTCTGGTTTTAGGTTTTTCAGATTTACACTAACATTTTAGTGACTCTTCTTAAAACATGGTTGTATGGTGAGAAGGGTTTCATCCCACTGCCAGGCTCCACCAGATGTTCTCTTACAGCATTGACACTAGCCTGTCAAAAATGACTTCGAAGAAATTTCATTCCTATGGGCAGCCTTTTACAGGGAACACCTCTAAGAGCTCTCTGCTCTGACTTGTGGGATGCTTCTGTGAGAAAATGTTAGTACATTGTAAGTTGCAAAGGGACTACCATATAACAGGTTGACCAAAATTTAAGGCCAACTATGTACCAAGTGCTGAGCTGAATTCGGGGATAAAAAGATAAATAACCTGCTATTTTCTGAAAACCCTACTTCTGATAGCAAACATATTTATCAAAGGAAAAGGCACATACAATCTGATTATGCTATAGTTATAAGGTTAAGGTTGAAAAACTACATATTCATACAACACTAACTCTCCAAGGAGCTATTTACAAATAAGTACAAGAGTTTCCGCTGCATAGAAATGAGAGCACCACACTTTCTGTGTTTAGAGAAGATATACTAAAGTAAGACATTTCAGATCTCTAGAGTGAGAGGGACTATAAAAAGGAGATACTCTTAATTTAGTAAGGAATATAAGAATAGTAAGTATTCTGTCCCAAAGACAGAGAACCAAATGATGAGCAGAAAATCGATTAAACATAAATAGAATATATTTGTATACCAGAAACAACAGAATGTGCAGCTAAAAAAAAATACACAGATGTGAGAGGGGAATAAAATGAAAAAAAAAATAAAACCTCACAGTGTGTTCTAAGCATAGGTATGAAATTTAATATATTATATAAGACAAAATTTATGGACTTCAGAAATACCTTTTGGAATTACATTTCAGTGACATGTTTTTAGCTTTACTGAAGGATGATACATTAAGAAATGAACTGCTGTTAAACAAAACTGATTTGCTATTACACCACTGTCAACTGTCTTTTGTCCCCTAGTTCCTAAATGCTGAAATTCTTCTAAATTTGATAACATGTAAAAACTTTCATCACTGAAATAATTGTAGGCTTCCTTCTTTTGCACATTAATAATATTATAATTTATCCATTTACCCTTTTTGCTTGAAGACCAAGAATTTACTCGGATTTCATGTTCAATTGCCGCAATTAACTCAGCCCTGGTGGCTGCCATTTCACTTTCTTCTCCATTTCAGGGTTGATTCTGTACTTCTATTTTGAACAATTTATAAAATCTAATTTAAAAATTATTTTTAAACAGCCTCAAATCCTCTATGACAGGGCTTCCCAACCTCTGGGCCAAAGACTGCTATGGGTTCACGTCCTGTTTGGAACTAGGCTGCACAGCAGGAGGTGAGAGGCAGTGAGCAAGCATTACCGCCTGAGCTCTGCCTCCCCTCCTATCAGCAGTGGCATTAGATTCTCAGAGGAGCGCAAACACTATTGTGAGCTGCACATGCAAGGGATTCAGGTTGTGCTCTCCTTATGAGAATCTAATGCCTGATGATCTGAGATGGAACAGTTTCATCCCAAAACCATCCAGCCCTTACGCCATCTGTGGAAAAATTGTTATCCACAAAACTGGGCCCTGGTGCCAAAAAGGTTGGGGATCACTGTTCTATGCTACAGAATATAAGGAGAATAAAATTTATAATATCTTTTTACCTGAAGATGACCATATTCCTCATAGGAGAGCAACTCATCTCCTGTATGCACATTGAAAACAGAGTGAAGACATGTTGTTGGGCGTGGATCCTGCTTAAACTGCTGGACCTAGAATGAAATATAAAATTTAAACAACGTTAGTAATTCATAAACTTATCCAAGACTATAGATTATATAAGCTATTTTTCACGAAACTGTTTAATGAACAAAGCTAAGGTAGAGGACCGAACAAAGCAGAAATGTTACCTTTCTCAAGAAACAAACAATACAAAAAGTTCATAACTACTAACTTGATAAAGTTAACATGATTCTCAATTGATATTTCACATGCACAGCAACTCAGGTATCGTATGGAGCAGGTTAATGTAGTAGCAATGGCTTTTGCAATGTTTTGCATCTTACTTTGTTTTAGAGTACAATTCTGCTTTATGTTGTGAGACAGGATTTCAGTGATTGTATTCCACTGCACTGTTATTTGGAAATGCCTACATGACACTCATAATGAAAAAGGACCACAGGCCAATTCTAGTTCAGCAAGTGTTCAAACTTCAAATAAAATTTCTTTCTCTAAGGGTCGCAAATTTTATGTATGCTGCTGTTAACATGCTTTCATTTCCCCTTCCATATATATTGTACACTCATTACTAAGACATCAACTCTAAGAGAATATAGGCCACACCATTAATTAGCTAGACAAAAAATTTTACCATTTTAGAATAAGTAAATACCTAAATAATCCAACAGAAAAACTCTGGGGACAAAAAATCCACCCATTTCTTTAGGGCCTGTTCAATTCAACGTGGCAAACATTTACTGACGCCAATTATGTGACAAATACTGTGCTAATTCCTGGAAGTCTGAGATAAATAGGAACAAAAAAAATGAATTGAAAGATATATAGCTTTAGGTAAATGCAATAATTCTCTTTTAAAGAGGAATATGAGAAATAAGTGATGATAATACCTAAGTCGTTGCAATCTTGCCTTGTTTCAGTTCACTACGAAACTATATAGAACCATGTTTTCTTCTCCATCTTTAAAAATTCTTCTTCTCCTTAAAACACCATCTTAAAAAATCTTCTTTTATACTTTTTGAACCCTCACCAAAATTCCTTACTCTGGACTCCCACATCAGTGTAGTTGTCACTCAATTATTTTTCCTGTTTTGTACTTTTACTAGCTGTGTGTATCTCCCTGTGAAATGGCATAATACACATTTGGTCTACCTTCCTAGTTCTGGGCACAGGGCTCTAAGAACCCTTTGAATTTCCTGAGCAACAGGCGCAAAAAGAATGTCTTTTTTTCATATAAGTCCCTTTCAACCATACTTGAGTTTTTGCTAATGATGTGACTCTTGATAGGTCCCTAGGTAGCTTCAAGATGGAAGACTGACTGCCAGAGGAACCAACCAAGTGATCAGAGGGTTGGAACTTTCAGCTCCTCGCTCCCACTCCTTACTTCAGGGGACGTGGAGAAAGGAAAAGCTGGTGATTGAGTCAATCACCAATAGCCAGTGATTTAATCAATCATGCCTACATAATGTGATTGCTATAAAAACCCTAGATGATGGTATCTGGAGGGCTTCTGGGTCAGTGAACACATCTGCATGCCAAGAGGGTAGTGCACCCCAGATACCGTGCGGACAGACGCTGTTGTGCTTGGGACCTTCTGTACCTTCTACCACTTCATCTGGTGTTTGTTTTATATCCTTTAAAACAAACTGGTAACAGTAAGTAAAGTGTCTCCCAAGTTCTGTGAGCTGCTGTAACAAAGTATTGACACCGAGGAATTATTGTAGCCAAGACAGAGAGAATTGTGGGTAGCCTGGGGATCTACTACTTACAATTGGTGTCTGAAGTTGGGGGTAGTCTTGTGGAACTGAGTCTTAACCTGTAGGATCTGTTTTAACTTCAGGTCATTACCGGAAGAATTGCAACAAACCGTATACACCCAGTTGGTGTCTCAAATTCGAGAACTGCTTGGTGTGGAAAATCCATACATTTGGTGTCAGAAGTGTTGTGAGTAGAGAAACAGTATTGCTGTAGAGTCCTACTATCTTGTAAACTTCTACAAGCTATGCAGTCCAACACAGTAGCCACTAGCTACATGTGACTAATTAAATTAAATTACAATTAATTATATTAATTAAAAATTAAGCTCTTCAGTCACAATGGCCACATTTCATGAAATCAATAGCCACATGTCACTAGTGGGTACTGTATTGCTCAAGAGTAACATGGAACATTTGTATGCTCATAAAAAGTTCTATTGGGCAATATTGTTCTAGAGGGATGTTACATCTTTACTGTCTGCAAGAGCCCTACATAAACAAATACAGCCCTCCCTATGATTAAAGAACCTAATCAGCAAAATAAAAGTCTGAACCTATCAGTACATAATCAGGACCTAGAGAATGGGTACAGTTAGGGATGTAAGTTCTCTATTGATAAAGTGACAAAGTCATCTGGTGTTAATTCAGAGAAGATGACTATCCCTTCTCAATATCTGAAACTGCTTGTAGTAATCTGAACCTACACAAATAGAAACCAATGTGGTCACTCTTTTCACACTATTATCTCAAAGTCCTGATTATTCTGAACTCCTATACAAAAATAGTAAAACTGAAGCAAAACACATTTTAACCACTTGATACAGATCTAAAAGGATAAGGTTTTATCAGTTTAATAAAGTGACTCCTGCAGTTGACAAGGGGTGGTGTTTGTCATTTGTCTTCAAGACATGCAAGAACCCAGCAGGACAATTTATATTCAATCACTATGTCAGGGGAAAAGCAACTACTAAATAATTAAAGATACCCAAATGGGGGATTATATAAGTACATTTTGAGTTTTAAAGCCATTAAAAAGACAAGTAATTTAAAATTTCAGAAAAAAATAAGGTCGAAAGTATAAGCTTTGAAGATTAATGGGGCATGCTGTATGTCAATTACAAACAAAAAGTCATCTTGAAAGCAGACAAAAACAAGAGGATGCTAATGAGTATTTTATACGATTCTGGCATCTGGCAATTAAAATTAAGATAATAAATAAAGCAAAATTTTCTAGACTAAAATAAATCTAGAATTATGCCTCTTCCACTTGTATTTTGCTCAGATTTTTCCTGAAAACTTTTATCATTGTGAATAAACAGTTTATCATTTGGGAAAAGGTAACTGAGTATTTTGCCATCCATTTTTAACTTATAGCCTTAAAACATGCATTTAGAGAAAAGAAAGTCTTCTCATAAGGGAATCCTGGAAAAATAAATTTTATAAAATTTTAATGATTTCTCATTAATTAGAAACTAGCATTTCAAACAAAAAAATTTAAGTAAATAATTAGATACAGCAACATTTATAGCCTATTATAAAGCAAACGTCTGCCCTCTAAACTAATCGCAGATTGAATCAACTCTGAAAAACTCTGAATGCCTCTCTGTAAGCAGAATTATAATAGACAGTAAATAAGAGAATAGGTATCTGCATACTGAGAGGTAAAACACAGCTGACACTAACAAGCAGGCATTAAGATAAGTGTCAAGACAATAAAACCCAGAAAACAGACTGCTCTAAATTCTGTAAATAAATCAAGAAAAAGTCCACATATTCACTCAAATTCATAATCAACTTAAAATATCTTTTAGCTAGTATTTTTAGAAAATACATCAGGAAGCGTGTTTTATGATGAGAAAACAATAGAAGTGGAGAAGGGAGACTTTCTAGGTCATGGTTTTACTTCAAAAGATAACATGAGGCTAGAGGTCAAACGGTGAATGAACACTACAAATGTGCTTTGCTTTAGTTTCAAGGGAAGACCAACAGAGAAATATTTCACATTTTAAGATACATTTATATTCCCTCTTGCAACAGTATTGTAAAGGAAATGGCCAAGACTGGAGGAAAAGAACAGTGAGCAGCAATAAGATGTGAAGGTATGGTGAGAGGCTTTGAGCTGGGTGCATGCTTCAATCTCCCTGAGTCAGTCCCTCACACTCATATGCACCAGAATAATATACTCCTTACAATTCATATTTACATTAATGGTCTATATCATAGCTACACAGGAAAGAAATGATAATCCCTTGTAATTTACAGAATTTAAGATAGCTTAACTCGGTCAGGCATGGTGGGTCATGCCTGTAATCCTAGCACTTTCGGAGGCCGAGGTGGGAGGATTGCTTGAGCCCAGGAGTTCGAGACCAGCCTGGGCAACATATTGAGACCCTGTCTCTATTTTTAAAATTAAAAAACAAAAACAACCTTAGGTCACACTCAAACTGTATTAGAAGAAAACATATTACAATTATGATGCTAGTTAGTAACATTGAGTAAGAAATGCCATTATAAAGTCAAAACGCCTTTGTAAAGTCAAATCTCAGCAGAAAAGCCACTAACAATTGGCTAATGGCCAGGTGCTAATGGTCTACACATCATAGCTACATAGGAAAAAAAATGATAATCCTTTATAATTTAAGGAATTTAAAATAGCTTAAGTTGGCCTGGCATGGTGGCTCACGCCTGTAATCCTTGCACTTTGGGAGGCTCAGGTGAAAGGATTGCTAGAGCCCAGGATTTCAAAACCAGCTTGGGGAAACATGGAGAAAACTTGTCTCTACAAAAAATACAAAAATTAGCTGGGTGTGTTGGTGTATGCCTGTAGCCCCAGCTACTTGGGAGGCTGAGGTGGGAGGGTTGATTGAGCCTGGGACGTCAAGGCTGCAGTGAGCTGTGATTACACTACTGCATTCCAGCCCGGGCGACCCAGAGAGACCCTGTCTCAAAAAACCAGCCAAACAACAGTAAAAAAAAGCAACTGGCTAACCATGCCACAAGGAAAAAACCTTAATCCAAGCTTGTCCAACTCACAGACTCACAGCTTTGAATGTAGTCCAGCACAAATTCGTAAACTTTCTTAAAACATTATGAGATTTGTTTTGCAATTTTTTTTAAGCTCATCAGCTACAGTTGGTGTTAGTGTATTTTGTGTGTGGCCCAAGACAATTCTTCTCCTTCCCATGTGGCCCAGGGAAGCCAAAAGATTGGAAACCCCTGCCTTAAACTAATACATTATTAGATTTCCTTCTGATAATTCTACTTTGTCAGCTTGTTTGGCAAACCCATGAAAACCATGATTTTCACAGTGTGTCCTAGAGAGAAAAGTTGAATTAATAAAGACGTTATGCATTTATGAAATGATACAAATGAAATAAACAATAACATCTCACACTTAGGAAAAAATTAACTTTAATCACAATTATTTCAACATAACATATGACATACTAGTTTAATTCCAGTATGTCAATTTGTGACATACTACTTCATTTCAAGCATCTGAAAAACCTCTGCAATATTGATTTGTACAGTCAAATCTCAGTAGACAAATTAAAGGCTTTTCATATGTCTCTATTTACTTTTTCTCTATAACATTTTCTTGTTGCCATATTCTGGTGGCAGAATATTAATGATTTTTTTTTTTATTTTGACTTGAATTACAGGCCCGAAGAAGAAGATTTGTTATCACTCTTTCTATTTTTTTTTTTTTTTGAGGCAGAGTCTCACGCTGTTGCCCAGGCTGGTCTCGAACTCCTGACCTCGTGACCTGCCTGCCTCAGCCTCCCAAAGTGCTGGGATTACAGGCATAAGCCACCATGCCCAGCCTATTATTTTCTTTTTCTTTTCTTTTTCCTTTTTTTTTTTTTGAGACAGAGTTTCCCCTCTGCTGCCCATGCTAGAAAGCAATGGAGTAATCTCAGCTCACTGCAAACTCCCCCTCCAGGGTTCAAGTGATTCTTGTGCCTCAGTCTCCTGAGCAGCTGAGGCTATGGGCACGCGCCACCAAATCTAGCAAATTTTTGTATTTTTGGTAGAGACGGAGTTTCACCATGTTGGCCAGGCTGGTCTCGAACTCCTGGCCTCAAGCGAGCCACCCGTTTCAGCCTCTCAAAGTGCTACGATTTTAAGAGTGAGCCATCGTGCCTGGCCTATTATTTTCAAGTGTAGATTAAAACAATACATTCATGTGATAAAAAAATACAAAATATTAAGTGATCAAAACTGCCTGCAAATTTCCCTGTGTGCATCTCTGCTAAAAGATAGAAGTTGGAAATGCATCTGAAACACATAGTTTAGAAGGGAGAGGGAAAACTACCAATGATAACGACACAAATATTTACTGTATGTTCACCTGATACCAGCCCTTGTGCTATGTGCTCTCTTTCATCCAAGTACTGACCAGGCCTGACCCTGCTTACTTCTGGGATCAGATGAGATAGGGCGTTCAGGGTGGTATGGGGGCAGACACCATGTTCTCTCTATACATTATCTGCCCTTCTCCACCCCAGCCATTCTGATTTCCGTGGCCGCCCTCCTCCTGTATCAACCAAAACCTTTTCCGGGATCTGATGAGTGTGTGGGCATTGAGCACTTTAATCCGGCATTCAGTTCATCCCACAGTGCCAAGTATGCTTACCAGAAGTGGCCCACTAGGCACTCGCATTCCATACCCAGCTTCACGCACCAGCAAGCCGGGCTTCTTACCCATTTAAAGTGTGAGAGTAGGTGGAGATCCTTCGGGTCCTAAAACCTCCAATCATTTGCTTTATGGATGAAACCACATGGGGTGGGTTTTGGAAGACTGCCAGCCATCCCGAGGGAAACCTCAGAGGAAACTAGCTACTAGATGGTTCCATCAATCTTTCACCCATATATACCCAGGTCTAATGACCAATTGATTTACACGTCAGGACCGCTAGGGACTTCCACTAGTTTCCTCCAGCTTTGCCCTGACCAGGCACAGTTCACTATCTTTCAGATCCTAACAAGTGCCCTGGTGCTCCACCTCCGGGGCACTGCCCTGGGTGAGATGGGCCAGTGGTGCACCCTCAGGGGACCGGAGAGGCCTCGGGATCCCATCTCAGCCAGTGAGTGCGCCGGCCTTCACCTTCACTGCGCCAAGGCAGCTTTCTTGCAAAACACTGACTCGCACGTGCTTTATTTTTTAATCCTTACAAAACTTAATAAGGGTGGTATTGTTGGTATCCGTATTTAACAGATGAAAAAAACAGAGGCACATGGAAATTAAACAATTTGTCCAACATCACACAGCTGGAAACAGACTGGAAACCAGTACATTCATTTATGTTGACTGTCCCTAAAAGAGTTAATATAGTAGGCCTGAGACTGCTAACCTCAGAAAGAACTGTTTGTAAGGTTGCCCCTTGGCTGATAGGTGGATACTCGGATTATGAAAGGGTTTCCACTATTCCCTCACAAGAGTGGCTCACTATACCTAAAGTGTTTACATTAACAATGTGGTTGATACTACACACCTGGTTTCCTTCTGGATGTCTGAAACTTTGGTGAGTGCTAGACAGAGGATACCTACATGACCAACCACCAATAAAAACCTTGGGCAATAAAAACCTCAAGCTTCTATTGAACTTCCCTGATAGACATTTTACACATGTTACAGTTAGTCACAATCCGTTACTGGGGGGATGAAGTGCATCTGTGTGACCCCACTGGGGAGGACTCCTAGGTGCTGGCATCTGGCTTCCTTCAGACTGTGTTCCTTGCACCTTCACCCTTTGCTGATTATGCTTTGTCTCCTCTCGTGTAATAAACCATAGCCACAATTACGATCATCTGCTGAGTCACGTGAGTCCTCCTAGCGAAGCATCAAACCTGTGGGTGGTCTTAGGGACCCATGATGCATTGATGTATACCTATGGACACTTACTATATTAGGACCTGGGATCACGGAGATGTAGATAAGTAACGGAATAGCCGTTATATTTGTATAGAGCTTTATAGTTTTTAAAATGTTATGTATATTATTTTCTTTAATTTCCACATATTCCTCTAAAGCTGTTTTCTTTTTGTTTTTTGAGATGGAGACTTGCTCTGTCCCCAGGTTGGAGTGCATTAGCATGATCAAGGCTCACTGCAACCTCCCCTGCTCTCGGATTCAGGTGATTCTCCTGCCTCAGACTCCCAAGTAGCTGAGAAAACCAGTGCGCACCACCATGCCTGACTAATTTTTGTATTTTTAGTAGAGATGGGGTTTCACCATGTTGGCCAGGATGGTCTCGATCTCTTGACCTCGTGATCTGCCTGCTTCGGCCTCCCAAACTGCTAGGATTACAGGCAAGAGCCACCACACCCGGCCTGTAAAGCTGTTTTCTAAGCCTATAATTCCTAGTCTCTTTGTATGTAAATGAACGAAGTGTTACATTTTTAAACTAAAGTTCACTTAAGCCAGAGCAATTCACATGTCCAAAAGTAATTCTGACAAGGATATTCTTTAACTAATAAAATACTGGTTAGAATTATTGATATTGTGAGGTTCCTGAGAAACTGGGTCTTTATCAAGCAACACCAGATGCAAAACGCAAACAAATCAAAGCCTAAATAACAATTCTCAATCACCTCTTGCTTAAGGTGTTTGTTCCTTCAATCTCAGGATTTCAAACCCTGGGCTAGAATGGCAAAGGCTGTTTTAACCTATCTAGTCCGCCCTAGGATGTGGCTTTCCCTTTGAAAAGTACACATTCTTCTTCAGAAGAAGCCATTGCTATACTAGTTAAATTAATCCTTCAGAATGATAGGAGAATTCCCGTCCACACCACAGTGTTTTACCTTATCGGCCTGACGCATATAGCAGTAGAGAATTCCTCTCATGCATTTTATAGCTGAGTGCTCCAGCTCATGGGTCCTTCCCTTGTCATCATCAATGCGCCTGGGGGAGAGAGATAACTCATGAAACAAATTGGAAATGCATTTGAAAAGGAAGCAGAACTTCTGATAATTAAGTATTTAACTATCTGGCTAATCCTGTGTTCTGGTGACATCTACCAATTCTGTCACAGTGAAACTCCATTTTCCCAGCAAAAGTAGAAATGCTGCAATGAAAAAAAAAAATCCTATGATGAAACTTAGGTAGATTTTTCCTTCTTTCAAGGAGGTAAGCCAACTCCTTTTAAAAATATTATATAATATTTATTTCTACAGTGATTTGGCTAAAACTTTAAAGAATATTTCCATTGGAAAAAATCCAGCAACAGATTGTTTTAAACTCACTGTTATGAAATAAAGCCAGTTTTTATTACCTATCCCTGTAGGTTATGCAATGGCCACTTGGATGTAAGTAGCAGCTACAAGTTAAGGTAGGTGCTGGCTTTCTTTGTTCTGCAGTATGTTCAATACCGTCAGGGCAGGCATTTAGTCACAGTCAAGGATGCCTTCAACTAAGCACATATCCCGGATGATACATGATATATTTTGGCGTAAAGTTTTATATTCTCTGGTTTTAATTTAAAATCAATTGAGAGTATTTTACATCTCTTGCTTTTAAAAATAAAGAACAGCTAAAATCTAACTATTAAACTAGGTTAAGATGTTACCTCTGTCCACAAGTTGCTTTTTATTATAGATCAGTAACTTTTCAAAGGTGGATGAGAGTCAACCACTACTAAAACATAAAAGTGACTTATTCATTGTTTCACTTAATCTTAACTAAAAATAACTGATAATCATTCTCACATCATTAAAAAGTATCACTTCTCTCCTTAAAAAGTATACTATAATTACCTCCCAGTTAAATCATAGATCGCATATACCATTCACTATTGGGAAGAATGATTATTATTTTGACACAGTATGGTGAATGTCAGTAAAAAGGAAGTTACTCATCATTAGCACATCATACCTTCTTTTTCATGCTGGCACTGCACAAAAATTAGCATGAATTTGCTCTATACAGTACTTTTCCCATTGAGGTCAGACATAAGTGTTTTAATAGAGGCATATTCTACATAGACAGTGTGCCTGCAAAGTAAGAACTTTACAGTCTCTATCTGATTTAGAAGCATTCTGGGAAAAAAAAAATCAAATTTCGAATCTACAAAACAGTTAAAAGGATGCTATAACTTAGATTCACCATCTTAACATTAGCTTGCATTCTCTATTACATTTTCTTCATTGTTTGAAAGTAAGCTACGAACATCATGACCCTTCACTCCTACACACTTCAGAAGTATCTCTAGAAAACAAGATTCACCTACATAACCATAATACCATTATTATACCTAAGAAATTTAATACTGATACTATAAGATCTAATACATAGTCTTGGCTCAAATGTTGAAGTGTCCCAAAAATGTACTTTACAGTATTTTTTTTTTTTTTTTTTTTTTGAGATGGAGTCTCGCTCTGTCGCCCAGGCTGGAGTGCAGTGGCTGGATCTCAGCTCACTGCAAGCTCCGCCTCCCAGGTTTACGCCATTCTCCTGCCTCAGCCTCCTGAGTAGCTGGGACTACAGGCGCCCGCCACCTCGCCCGGCTAGTTTTTTGTATTTTTTAGTAGAGACGGGGTTTCACCGTGTTAGCCAGGATGGTCTCGATCTCCTGACCTCGTGATCCGCCCGTCTTGGCCTCCCAAAGTGCTGGGATTACAGGCTTCAGCCACCGCGCCCGGCCTACTTTACAGTATTTTTAAATGCATGATCCAATTAAGGATCATGTATTGCATTTGGCGGTTGTATTTCTTTAGTCTCTTTTAACCTAGCCATCCTCATACCTATTTCCTAGTCATCTGTAGTACTGACATTTTTAGAGCCCAGGCAAGTTGTCTTATAAATAGCCACAATTCAGCTTTGTCCAATTTTTTGTTCATATGTAGACTCGTGTTAGATAACTTGGTAAGATGTTAGCACAAGGTGTATTTCCCATTGTGTCAAACCAGGAACAGCAATTAACATCAGTCTATCTCATTATTGGCTTCACCACTTGGTGAAGGTGCTACTGATGCTCCCTGTACTCCTAAGATCAGTAGCAGTTTTACATTTAATAAAGCCATATTGTCCTTACCTAGAATATTTAAGGAAATGCTTTTAGTGATGTCAGCATTCAAGTGTGCTAAAGAAGACTACTGCATATTATCTCAGTGTTTTTCATTTTAAAATCCAACACATCAGTAATTTCAAACAGATAAATCATGTTCATGTGGAAGATACAATTTTTAAATCAGAAACATAACTATGGGTCACTTTCAGAAAATTAATATTCAGAAAGTTAATCTTACTAATCTTAATTATGGTTAAAATGTATTACCACTGACTATGTGTTAGCATCCACATTCAGTGCTTTCTACATATAATGAAATAAATAAAGGAGAAATTTTGTAATGTCAAACTATTTCTTTTTTTACTTTACACAATTTTTTCACTTACGACCAGACCTAATAACAGATACTTCGCTGAAGTGCAGTGATAAAACCGGAAACTGGGTAAGGGAAAAGAATTCTGACCCTGGCTCTATCATTAACGAGTTGCATCATTTGGAACAAATTTGTTAAGGACTCAGGGCTCTAATTTTATTACCTGCAAAATTTAGTCATCATCAGTTCTCTCCCTGATTGAAACCAATCAACACAATGAGAGTGTGCAGGTAGTTCATTCTACCAATGACTAATAATGCTGATTTAGAAACCTAGAGACAAAAAGTTTTGTTCACAAAGTCATAAAATCTTAGAACTGGTCTGATATAAGCTTTTAGAAAAATGAAATGGTTTAGGCTGGGTATGGTGGTTCACACCTGTAATCCCAGCATTTTGGGAGGCCAAGGCTGGCGGATCACTTGAGGTCAGGATTACGAGACCAGCCTGGCCAACATGGAGAAGCCCCATCTCTATCAAAAATACAAAAATTAGCCAGGCGTGGTAGTGCATGCCTGTAATCCCAGCTACTTGGAGGCTGAGGCAGGAGAATTGCTTGAACCCAGGGGGCAGAGGCTGCAGTGAGCCAAGGTCATGCCGCAGAACTGCAGTCTGGGTGACCTCATCTCAAAAAAAAAAAAAAGAAAAGAAAAAGAAAATGAAAATGTTTAGAGACCTAAAAAGGGATGTGAGCAGCCATAGGTTGCACAGTAAGTCAGCAGCAGATCCAAAAGATGGCTGCTCAATTAGTCTTGGTCCTACAAAACCCTATTATCCATTCTCAAAGTTACTAGGAGAGCACACACCAGCTCACCTGTATGCAAGAGCCAAAGCCCAGGCCCCAGCAGCGCAGTATAGACTGTCCTGGATCTTGGCCTTCTGGTCACCACCACATGTTTTAGTGGGAAAGAGACCGGTAGTTGGACTTTGATACAGCAGCAATGTTGACTTGACTGCAATTGAGGACAAGACAAAGAATGAACTGTACAGCCAGCGACTTCCCTTGGGCTAAATGTTTTAATCTTCTTTGGTTTCCTCATCCCATTTCTGACAACTTTGTTTCTAAACTTGCTATAGTATAATACTTCTGAAGATGTGGAAACAACTTCATGTCATTCCAGCCTTAGTGGGAATCCACCCTACACAAAGAAATCTTTCCAGTTTTTAGGAAAAGACTTAGCTAATTAGGACTTAAAAAGCCTTTAGCACATCCCCGGTAATGTCAATGTGTGTTAGAAATCTTATTAGGACAACATCAGGTACAGAGGGAAAAAGAGATCAAGCAAAAGACTAAGTATAATAATTTTTAAAAATCAGGTCAATAGGCAAACTTAAAGCAAATGCACAAGAAAGAGTAGCATACATTTAGTAAATCACAAAGCCACCTCAACTGCTACAATAAACGATCAACAATGTAGGAAGGGCGAGGGGAAAATCACAGAACAGGCTGGAATCCTGTGTTTCACTGATGGCTAAATTGTGCCTGGTCTTCAGAGGAGTGTACAGGATTCATTTTACTTTATTGTACAGATTAGGAAAATGTTTAACATTTTAAAACTGAATTCCATCCATATATAACATGAACACAGCAGCAAATAAATAATTTTTTATGAACATTTTACTTAAATAAGTCTGAAATTAACATTTTATTATCTTTTATAAATGGGCTTTAAAATAGGAAAACACACACACTAAAATTACATTTACTAAAAGCTGTTTTATTGCTATCTAACTATAAATGGATGGGTAATGCTTTTCCTAAAATGCATTACACTAACCCTATCTAGATTGGCAACTACCTTTTTGTTTTGAGACAGGGTCTCGCTCTATAACCCAGGTTGGAGAGCAGTTGCATGATCATAAGCTCACTGCAGCCTCTAACCCCTGGGCTTCAGTGATCCTCCCAACTTAGACTCCCAAGTAGCTGGGTCTACAAGCAATCACCACCATGCCAGGCTAATCTTTAAACGTTTTGTAGAGAAGGAGGGCTTGTTATGTTGCCCAAGCTGGTCTCAAACTCTTGGGTTGAAGCAATCTTCCCATCTTGGTCTCCCAAAGTGCTAGGATTATAGGCATGAGAGATCACACCCAGCCATTTAATCTACTTTTTGGGATAGTTTTTCAAAGGTCGAAAACATTCTGTTCTGTCACAGAGATTTAAAGAATTAAACTTTCTTTTTGTTTTTCTCAGACTAAATTTATCTTTTTTTTTTTTTTTTTTTTTTTTTTTTGAGACAAAAGAGTCTCACTCTGTCATCCAGGCTGGAGTGCGGTGGCACAATCTTAGCTCACTGCAACCCCTGCCTCCTGGGTGCAGGTGATTCTCCTGCCTCAGCCTCCTGAGCAGCTGGGATTACAGGAGCACACCACCACACACGGCTGATTTTTGTATTTTTAGCAGAGACGGGGTTTCTTCATGTTGGTCAGGCTGGTCGCAAACTCCTGACCTTGTGATCCGCCCGCCTCCACCTCTCAAGTGTTGGGATTACAGGCGTGAGCCACTGTGCCCGGCCTCTAAATTGATCTTATCATAATCATTTCTTTCAGAAAACCAGGGTATTTATTATTTTTCCCAGTGTAAAGAATTAGTCCTCAGAGTTCAAAGTACACAATTTACATTTAAAAAAGTTCTCTTTAGCTAGTCATTGCCAAAAAGATAATAAAATGGGCAACTTCATGCATGCAAGAATCTTGACCAAAATAAGTGAGATTGAAGTTTTATATGAAGTTGAAATAGATGAAAAATCCATTATCTTAGGGGGAGAGAAATCAAATTTTATGTTTTCTGCCATACTAGTACAAGTAAAATGGCATAAAATGTAAACTGATAAAAAGATTAATATGCATTCTAATATATGGTCTGACAAACAAAGAGGAGGCCCACATACACATATCTGAAAGTTGCTTACTCACATTGAAAAACAAAATTTGTAAGGCTGGTCCTGGAAAAACAAAATAAACAAAACACCTAAAAAGTTTAGGACTATCTGGGAACCATGTTTAGGTAAATAAGCAAATTAATACTTACGTGAAATATTTGTATATTAATCAAAAAACATCTTCAAGGTCTCCAATCTGGTAACGTTTAGTAAGGTTTAAAAAACACAGAAGATATTGGTGACAGTTTTAAAATTATTCAAGGGCCAGATATGAACTGCCAGATTCCTTTTATAGTCCTGGTATTGACATACAATTGGAATACACAGCTACTTAAGCACTGAAAGTACCCCAACATCCCAATGACAGAACAATATCATCCATATAATGTACATGATTTAACTAGGGCAAAGGGAATACTAATCGCAGATACCTAAGGACATGTTTTCCTCAGGTTTTGCTCACCAATTCTGTAATAATGGTCCAATTTATCCCAGAGAGTTTCATTATCAGGTCTTGGAAGATTAATGCTTTTAAGAGGTTCATAAACTGAGCCTAAAAGAAAAAATAAAAACCCATCAAATTCAGTCATTTTCACAAAGATAAACAAAGAAAAACTCTAAACAAACGAAGAAGCAGTGCTTAATCTAATTTTCATTATTTTATGTGAAGTACCATACTTTACTACTTGTAAATCTTTTTGCTGGGGGAACAAGAGGGAATAAAGTACCTTTGACAATAAATACAGAAGAACTTGAAATGTCATGGGATATTCCCACCCTTACCTCCAGCACTTAGTCCAACTAATTGATGTGTATATGATCCAAACAACTAAGTGTCACTAATACTCAGGTGGTAGCCATTTGTCAATAGATCCTAGTTATTAAGAAATATGTCTAATTAGGTGACCATAAATCCAAACTTCATTCCTTATGCTAATGTTTCATCACACATTTTTTTCTCAAATGATCATACCCCCAAACCCTCAAGGAAAGAAGATAATGTTCACATACTCCAAAGCCATCCACTCCACGAATATTCAGCTAGGTTCCATGCTGAAATTCCTAATCCTTTACTTTCTCCCAGGTAGATGATATTCTTGCCTTATTATCTGGACTATAAGCAGATCATTTCTACTTTTCAACCTTGGAAACTACTCAAAGGTATTAGCAGAGTCAGCTACTCAAAAGCTAGAAAATATACAATAATCATGATAATTTACCACGAAATGGATACAGAAAATTGTTCACTTGACTAGTGCACTTTCTCAACTGCTAACTGAAAGAAAGACATCTGAACCTTCAGCCATCAGACTAAGTACCGTCTCTCATTCTTGTTAAAAGCACTCAGAAATTATAAACATCTCAAGGTCACAAATAATCCACCTCTGGATTCAGGTAATGTATACCATGTAGCCTAAGAACACAGCACAAAAATGAATCTATAATTTACCTAGTGAGGGAAATCACAATGGCATAGATGAAGATTCTGTTTTTAAAGAAAATTAAAGCCTTTATGCTCATAAAATTGCTATGTCCAACACGCTAGTTTAAAGCCAAGGTTTTGGGAAGCCTTTATGTTCAGGCAGATAGTAACATTAAGAAGAAAGTAAAGAAAGAGCCTATATATTCAGGCAACAGTCTCATTATCTTCTGTTGAACAGATAGACTAAGTACTGTCTCTCATTCTTGTTAAAAGCACTCAGAAATTATAAACATCTCAAAGTCACAATTAATCCATCTCTGGATTCAGGTAATGTATACCATATAGTCTAAGAACATAGCACAAAAATGAACCTATAATTTACCTAGTGGCAGAAATCACATTGGCACAGATTAAGATTCTGTTTTTAAAGAAAATTAAAGCCTTTATGCTCATAAAATTGCTATGTCCAACATGCTAGTTTATAGCCAAGGTTTTGGGAAGCATTTATGTTTAGGCAGATAGTAACATTAAGAAAGTAAATAAACGGCCTATACATTCAGGCAACAGTCTCATTATCTTCTGTTGAAAAGTTAGGTAATTTGTAGATAAGGCTTGCTCTGAGTGAAAAGAAGATTTTCTTGTAAGAGTATTCACAATGGCACCAACAGGAATCGGTCCACAGTGAGGAACAGAAAGACCTATCAACAGATGGAGCATCAGTACTACTTTCCTGCTTCAAAGGAAAGGACCCAGCCACCCCCCAGCCATGCCCCTTGCCTTCCTGTATTCAACTAGCTCCAGGCAGGTATAAGTATATGGGTAGCCCAGCAATCAGAAAGGAACAATATGCCACTGCTAGAGCATAAGGTAATAAGCTCTAGGAGTCTATACACTCCCAGTGAAGCTCATTCACTATGAAAGAAAATAAATTAGGTACAAATAATCATAATTTATAAATTGTGCATATGTATATATAAAAACTAAAGGGGACACCTTTGCTGAGGTGGAAGATTTGTGGGTAACATTTCTGTTTTTAGTTAGATCTCTATTAGTAGAGGTAGTATTTTGCTTTACATACAAAAAATATATCACCAATAGTTGAGTATATAATTCCATTACAATTAAATGATACATGAGCATATGGATACAGAATATGCAAACCGAAATCAACCTGCATCACAATGGTAGGTAAATTGATTTTGAAAGATTGTTTTAATGATGATTTAATCAAGATTTTAGATTTTAAAGTATTTATTTTTAAAAGTGGTACGATATTTAAGATCAAAGGGACTATAGTGATTCTGTCATCTAATTTTTCTTAAAAAAAAAAAAAAGAGTTTTATTAGAGGCAACAACAAATAAACAAAAGGAAAATCAGGCCTCTCAAGAAAATAAGAATCTATTCAGTAATAGGAAAAATAGAAGATGTTCAAAGTATAGCAGAAAGGGTAAAAGTAAAATCATCTAAATTACACATTCAAAGAACGCCTATGATAAGAACAGCTTGGTTAGATAAATGTTATTATTTTAGTGATCATCATTGTATTGTTTCTAAAGCAACTACATAAAATTAAACAAGGATGTTCTACGCAATTTATGGTAAACAATACCACAAATCTAAGTCAAAGGAAAAGTAATCAATGTTAACATTTTAAACAAAAATACGACATCTGGAAAGCATCAATGCCAGTAAAAATGTGAAGAGAGCAATTAATAGAGCATGAACTCCCAAAGCAAATTAAAGAGCTACAAAATAACAGAAAATTCTACTAAATAATTAGTTCCAATTGAAATGAAATGGTAAAATGTTAATTTTTCTTTTCCATGCTTTTCCCATTTGAATTATGTCTATATACAAGCATCATAAAGTAAAGTAAAACTTATCAGTGATAGGAGAAAAATAGCTCAGAGCAGACTGAGCTAGGTGAGGTATGCAAAACTTACCAGGCTCAAGAAGACAAGAGTATGGGACTTAATCACACTTTCTCTCCTATGCACCCACAACCAAGGGCTATGTTTACAGGCATTTTTGTTCCTGACTAGCTGCCTTACCCATTATCTTCCAGTTCCTGGAATTTGTGATACAAAGAACAATATATAGCTAATCAATAGCTTTTGTTATTTTACTACAAGTTATTGGTAAACAACTTAGAAGTCACCTCTTCCTTCCTTTACAATTCACTTGTAACTGATGCTAATCAGAGGATATATTCAGGGCAGCTTCTAACTATGCTTCCACATAGATTCAGGCTTGAATAAACTCTATAATGAATCACATTTTCTGAATCTAGTTATTTAAGGTTAACATTTTGGCACCCTAGATGAGATCAGAAGTGGACCTCCAGAGAGCCCCACCACCACTTTACCAGCAATTGGCACTTTGGTACCAACACGGTAAGTCCTCCTTCACCCAACCTTGCCAAAGTCAGCAGGAATCTCTGGTAAGGCCCCTGTTGGGATGTGAATCCACCTGTCTTGATTGTGGATTAAGACTTTATTCAATTCATACATATTCTTAACTAGTTGAGGTTGGAAGTGAAGCTCTATAAAAGGTAAGAGTTTCATTTGTTATTCTCTAGAGATCTGCTGACCTCAGATCTGTGACTTTCATTTTCTCTGATGTTATTTTGAACTACTAGTTGGAGTTTTTCAACTTTTTCTATAGTTTTAAACTTTGGTCTTTGAAAAGAGGGAGTGAATCTTTGTGGCTTAAGTGGAAAACTTGTAATTTTAAAAACTGACAAATCTAAAATCTTCTTGAGTGACCAAAATAATAAAAGGCTCTCTATGTGTCCCACTAGGTTTCTGGTCATTCGGGAAGGAAAACAAAATTTATGGACAACTATCTCTAAAACCTAGACTTTGTCCTTAAAGAGTGACCCACCATTAGAAACACCAGCTGGATTTATATTTAATGCTTATGGTGCCTCTTCATGCTACCATTTAGAAAACTAGTCACACAAAACTAAAGATGACCCCAAATTACAATGGTTGAAATAGTGTACTTTTAAAACACCTCAACTGGTTTATCTGTGTTCTCAATTTTAAAAAGCTAGCTCTAAAATAAAGTAACGAGGAGAGCTATTTTCAATGATACTTAGAAGTTTCTAAAAGAGATTCTGACAAAGTTATTTCTTTGCAAAAGGAAAATGTAAAATTGTATAAAGTGACTTTTAAAATGAAAAATGCTGCTGAAATTGTTCCTCCTCCTTTTTCTGTTTATTCTTTATTCTAACTGCTCTTCCCTTCCCTCCTCCTGCTCCTGGTGTACTGGCCTCATTTCCGGAATGAGACAGCAAGTATAAAGAGGTCCGCAGAGAACCTCCAACTGGCCTGCACACTGGGAGGAGTGTGCAATGGGTAGAGCCTCAGGAAGTTCACACTGTTTGCCACAGGGAGGAGCCTGATCTCCCCTCTTCCAGGGTGGTACCTAGGATTCAATCTATGAGGCAGGAAGCCAGCTAGCAGGACTTTGGCTTTGCTGAGACTCTCTGTTTCCCCTTGTTTTCCTTTTTGCCCGATAAATTCCATTTTTCTTGCCCTTTAAGGTGTCTGCAAGCCTAATCTTTCATGGCTGTGTGACAAGGACCCCATTTTTAGGTGAACTAAGGAGAAAGTCCTACAACAGTTTAGCACCCAACATGGGGCTTAAGAAAGGGTGAGTGAGATGCAAACCAAATCTCTTTTTCTCTCATTCCTAAGCCTTTTCATCCTCAGACTTCTGAGGGTAGGGGAAACCATGCCCCCACCCCCATCAATTCCAGGTGTTGAGAAGGTCAGCCTCAGTCTCGATGGCATTTTCCTTTCTTTTTTGTGACGGAAGGGTGAGCAGGGGCTCCTGCCACCCTCCCCTCCCTGCCAGGGCTGGGACTCATGAAGCAAGGGTGCCCAACAGCAGGCAGCTCTCCCTGCCACGCATCCACGGAGCCTTCCGCTCCCCCAGCCAGGAGGTCCCACTCCCTTGGACAGTAATGAAGTCTTTCTCACTGGTGGAGGAATCTATTTGCATAAAAATAAGAGGTTCCTCTTTAGGCATTTTAAACTGGTTTTTTCTTTTCTTTTCTCCACCAGATCAGGAGTTGACTTTTAAATGAGCTTTTTTTTTTTTTTCCCCCTTTTAGAAGACATTT